TCCTACTTAAATTGAAGCTCCAAAAGAGTGTGATGCAGGGCAGATTGATTGTTTTTTAGTGATTCCCTCCCCAGGGGCGGAGGAAGGGGGTGCGGTGGGAGCGGGTCGCCCCAGGTGTCACCACTGAGGGAGGTGACAAAATGCCGGGTGGCACTCACTGCTGGGACTGCAGCACGCTCGAGCCATGCATCTCTCCTGGGCACACACATGTGGCTTGGGCACACGCATGCTCTGCGATGCCCCAAACGGTCCGCCCTGCCTCCCCCTCAGCTGTAGGGCGGCTGAGTGAGGGGCAGGCAGACTCCTCGGAGGACCCGCAGAGAGTCCTGCCCCAGCTCGTCCCACCCCACTGGCGGCTGGCCCCGCCCTTGGGTGCAGGGCACACGCGCCGCCCCAGGCGCCCGATCAGCTTGCTCCACCGCTGTCCCTCCCCCCTATGTTTTAGCTCTTCCTATTCTATCTGTAAGCCGCCTTGAGTCCCTGACAGATAAAACAGCAGGATATAAATAAATATAATGGTGATGATGTGGAGGATAGTGGGGTAGTCAACCTCCTTTTGACTACCTCTGCAGGAAAGACAAGATGTGGGAGAAATTCATTCCACAGAGTGCCATTATTATTATTATTATTATTATTATTATTATTATTATTATTATTATTATTATTATTTTCCACCTTTTTCTCAGCTTACTGGACTCTTTTCTAGGATATTTTGCTTTTCTCATATTTTCCCCAAGATATATTCATTCCTTCCAGAATAGTTTCCACCACAATAATTTCATGCCACACCAGTTTTCATTTGAGGAATATACATGCAGTTCTGTTACCTTTTCTACCACAAGGCTTGGGCTTGTCATTGCCTTTTTAAGGTCTATTCAAAGGGCAAACCAAGTGTTACTTGCAGAGGAGAGCAATATCCTGCACAGCGTGTGGAAGCTGAAAGAGAGTGTTTAAATTGTGACTTCTGCCAGGAGGCTTTCATGGTGTTATTTGAATGGTCCTCTTCAAGGAAACCTGGATCAAAGCAAGTTCCCTTGGGGCCAAGGAGAAATATTCCAGGTCTAAATTACTGACCTATGCCATTTTGTCACCTTGAAGCATGAACATTAATAAAAAGAAAGAAAGAAAAAAAGAACAGCACATTTAGAGGTATTTTTCCCCGTTATGAAGAAACAGTGGTGCCTCACGAGACGAAATTAATCCGTTCCGCGAGTCTCTTCGTCTTGTGGTTTTTTCATCTTGCGAAGCACGGCTATTAGCGGCTTAGCGGCTATTAACGGCTTAACGGCTTAGCAGCTTAGCGGCTATTAATGGCTTAGCGGCTTTAAGAAAAAGGAAACAAACTCACAAGAACTCGCAAGACGTTTCGTCTTGCGAAGCAAGCCCATAGGGAAATTCGTCTTGCGGAACGACTCAAAAAACGGAAAACCCTTTCGTCTAGTGAGTTTTTCGTCTTGCGAGGAATTCGTCTTGCGGGGCACCACTGAATGTTTATTTTTCCTCTCCACTTGTCCCAACCTTTACTTATTTGATAAGTATATGCAAATTTAATATTGGCAGACCTCTCTTGCCAGATGGAAAGAGGGAGGGCACACTGGGTTTAGACAAATCTCTACGCCTGAGGCAAAAGTGGAATGCCTGAAACTTGTGGTCATGGCACTTTGTTGGGGGGGGGAATCTCGATGGCTTGGTATTAGACTGGTTTAAAATGGGTAGAGAACTTTAGTTAGGTCCAAAAGATGCTCTCAAATTGGATGATGCAGTTATGCTGCCGAAGCTAAGCAGGCTGAACAGGAATACTTACTGATTTGAGCTTTCTGGAGGTCAAATGGGGCACAAGTGTAATAAACAGAGGAGTGTAACCATAGTGGAAGTGGATGGAGGGGGGTCAGCGGAGGGTAGGTGCAGTTCTGTGTGCCGATAAAATGCAGGTGATAGGGTGTATTTAGATAGGATTCTTTAGATGATTCACTATCCCGGTTCTGGATTTGTGTAATGGAAGTGTATAGAAAGTAAATAATATAATGGAGTTGCTTTCTAGTCGGCAAGGCAATTGTTCAACTCAGAAATTGTCTGTTGCACTTTGCTAGTCATAGAGTTGTGCCTAGTTATGTGAAGGTCTGAGAATGTGCATGGATACAAGGAAGAAGCAAACATTCCTGGTACCAGGTGTGGATCTTCCAAGGTCCCATCCCAAGGCATTGCTGTGTGAGCATGGGGAATTTATTTATTTATTTTTTTGCTAATTACTTCTGTGGGCAGAGTGCAGTCTGTGATAATTAATTCTCCCTAAATATGGTAACAAGCTTCTGTGGGGCTTCACTTTATGGAGAACCAAGCCTCAGGAGATAGCTTGTGGTTTAATTATAAAAAATCACGCGACTCTCTTGGCCTGTGAATAATAATAATGATAATAAAACTTTTCTCTCGCTTGTTTCTGTTGTTTAACACTGACCATTGTTGGCACAATTGAATGATTGACTCGCTAAGTGAAAACAGCAGCACAATATTGAATGAAGGGTGGTGTTGTCATCAACAACAGTATAGAGGCTTGTGCTTCTCTGTTGCGGTTTCCAGTGTTTCGGGTGTTAATGAATCTTAAGTAAATAGTCAAGCTGTGGCATGGAACTTCATATCTAAGTTAGAAATCATATGCAAACTTACTTAGGTGCAAGTCTTGTTGAATTCAAAAGGAGTTATTTCTTTGTATAAATATGCATAGGTTTGGGCTTCCTGAGGAGGTTGTTTTCTCCTCTGTCTGACTACTAAATTTTGTAGATTTCATTAATCGAGTTGCAGAGGTTTCAAAATAACAACTCTCAGAGAGAGAGAAATGCCTACCCTGCCATGAGAAAAATGTGGTATTTTTGTGCATCAACTTCAAGATGCAGCTCAGACCCTAATCTGGCTTTTCCAAAACAGTTCAGCTCAGTCCAAATCGCTTCAGATGCTGCTCAATTCAGTTACAGATAGGTAGCCGTGTTGGTCTGCCATAGTCAAAACAAAAAAATTCCTTCCAGTAGCACCTTAAAGACCAACTAAGTTAGTTCTTGGTATAAGCTTTCGTGTGCATGCACACGAAAGCTCATACCAAGAACTAACTTAGTTGGTCTTTAAGGTGCTACTGGAAGGAATTTTTTTTGTTTTGCTCAATTCAGCTTAAGGTTCCAGGCCAAGTCTGCTTCAGGAAAAACAAAGATTCATTTCACCGTCCCGCCCCCACCCCCCCATTGATGATTTCAGAATTTTTAAAAATGGGTATTGCTTTTTCCCCTTTTGGGGAGAAGTGAATGAAATTTTCAGGCATAGTGGATAAAGCCAGCCAAATTACAATGAAATAAGTCTTGAGGTTTCTGAACTGGGCACCTTAACAGTTTGATTTTATATATATAAGAGAAAATGTCTAACATTTTTACAAAGCCATTCCAATAAGTAGAACAGATAACACAGAATTAAATATATTACACAGTTAAAATAATTATTAAAACCAGGTACTCTATCAGATAAGAGTTTGCTCCCCTGAAGATTTTAACTGATATTTCCCCACAAACTTTCCCTCTTCAATTTGTCACTTTTTCAGCAGTGTATTTCATAATTCCTTGTGAAGAAATTCTCAGTTAACCAGTTTTAACTTTATTGTATAGATAGATATGACATATCCAGCAGAATTCAACCTATCCGTGACTTATGGTGCTTCACCAGGGCTTGCAATATATGTTTTCTGCTTGCAATAACAAAAACCAGCGAGATTGGCAAAGATCCGGCAGGCAACATAGTGAGAAGCAATGAGGCACATTGATTTCATTTTTCACAAATTGTTCCAGGCTCACAATCAAATCGTGAAAGTAGTATTGTCCATGTTGCGTGGGTACAATATCTACTTTTATATGAACCCAGAAGAGTGGCCACTTAAGCACTGCAAAAAAAGAAAAAGAAACCGCCAGGAAATATATTACCAAAAAAGGGGGAAACTAGAACACAGATTTACCTTAGCTAATTTACGTGCCTAAGTGCAAATTTAGAAATAATTTTATAAATGAGATAGAATTAGAATACATCTCATCATAGTGTGGAAGACTGACCAGGTGCTCGCCAATAAAGGGATTTTATTGTATGCAATTAAATAAATAAATAAATAAATAAATAAAATAAAAATAAAATAAAATAAATTTCAGGCTCCTGCTCTCCATTCTTTTTTCTTTAAAACCGGGCTTCATCTGGCCAGCCCTTCAAATAGAGGATGTTCCTCTGCAAAATAAGGCATCTATTGCCACACTGTTTAGAGTAAAACAGGGAATATGTCTGTGTGTCTTCAGTGACATTCTTTCTCTGCAAAAAGAAAAGAAAAACGGAAAAGCTGTGATAGTCACATTGTCATTGGCATCTTAAACACTACCAAGTGCTATACAAACTGTGAGATGCGTACCACTGAACATGGGTAACAAAAAGACTTTCTTAAACCAAAGGAATATAAAACAGCAAGATGGGAACTGTAAACATCTTTTAGGTGTTAAGCCTTGTGGCAAGCAACCCTGAAGCACTATCTCCCCAGATCCACACTTCAAAACCTTTCTGGCAGTGAAAGATATCTGCCCTTCTCCCCACATCACTACAGAAAATATATTTGCTGGAGAGGGAACCGTTTTTCAGGAATGCACATTGAAGAGGGAGCCCTTTGAACTCCTTTCCCTGTTCTCCTGATTAAGTCTAGAGGCATCTTTGCTTCCAGAAAGGTTTAGGGAGATGGAGACTGGCAGGTGGAAATTTGCCCTGTACTCCTTACCTTCTGTGTAGCTTCTTTTCGGCACTCCTTCCTCCCACTTAGGGCCCCTGGAAATCCCACTTCACCTGAGACACAAAGTGGCAGACAGGATGTCACGCTGATGCTTTGATTTGTATTTTGAAGTTGAAAGAGGGCGTGAGCCGTTGGCTTCAATTTAGAAAGAGCACAAATGCAGGTTGCGTTTCCTTCATGTTCTTTTATGTCTGTGTTCTTGTAGCCACTGGGGTGCTGAAGTAGCTGAAATGAGAAAAAGGCAACAGCCACAAAATGAAGAAACATCTGCTGTGTCTCAAGCACCTGGAAACCAAAGGCCCAACAACACATGTTGCTTCTGTTGGTGTTGTTGTTGCAGCTGCTCATGGTATGTCACGCAGTCTATTTGATACCATAGCTAGTGCAGGTAAATGTCAACCCAAAGCCATCAGTTGTCAGGCTTAATGTAAAAAGCTGGGGGTGGGGGGCTTTTCTGTGCAGTAAGGTTGTTGCACTATAAACGCTCATTTGATTCTCATTGCTTGCACACAGACTTCATGTCTTCTCTCAACGTTGTGCTCATGTTGCACATTTTAAAAAAGAAAGTAATTGAACAATGTGATTCCTAAGCCTCTGTGCACACATGTGCACACACAGAGCTCCCTCCTGATAATGCAACCAGAGCGAAGCAAGAAGAGCATTTGTGTGCATTTGCTTTTGCATATAATTTGACCCTCTCTAAAGTTGTTCTAGGAGAACTGGCTTTCCCCTAACCAATTTTAAAAGATGGGCATTTGAAAAGACTTTCCAAATTTTATATCTATGAAAACTTCCAACTGTAGAAATAAAAAAAAATAATGTAGCAAATATGTGCAAAAAAGTAGTTTTCTGATTATTTGGGGAAGCAGGGCATAGGGAAGAGAAAATGGATGATGATCTGTGCATTTTGAATTAATGGGAAACATGAACAAAACTGTCTTGTTTATTTCTACCTGATAATTTGACGAATAACCTACAGAATGTATTTATAGTCAGGATGCATTCGAATTCCACTGAGATCCTTCAACTGGCAAAGAGCCGTCATCCTAATGGGGATCAGGCCAGGAAATAGTTGCTGTTCAGCTCTTCCTAAAAGAATCATCAGCTCAGGAAATATGAGACTGAAATTTAGTGTTTGTTTTCCTGTTTTTAAAATAACCTCAGATAACCATGTGATCTTTCTAGGCTGGGATAGCCTGCCTAGGATGCCTGTCACAAAAGTGTATATATAAAACTTTTAATATAGCAATATTTATATGCATGTGAACAGCTCAGTGGCATCAGCAGGGCTGCAGTTACAATACAGCTATTTACTTGCTTAGATGCTCTGGGTTTCCCATGTGTACACATCTGTCTAGAAATGCCAGTAGCTAAAATTTCATAGCAGGGATACGGACCCTCAGCCCCATGAGCCAAATGTCATCCTCTGAGTCTTGGGAATCTCCCCAGACCAAACACTCTCACAAACCACACCCCTCACCAGCCCTGTCTTGCACCCTCCATGAGTGTTTTTGCTTGGCTGAAATGTGTCCTTGGACTCTGATAACATTGATTACTTGCTTGTTTGGAGGATGGAGAGAAATGTGTCAATGTGAAGAAACTGGGCTACCAAAGACAAAGTTTGCATTTGTTGCTCTGACCTGGCAATGGCATATCGCCCCAGGAAAGCTACGAGCAAAATCCCCGCGCATCCCTGCCTGCACTGTGTGGTTTTATAAGCTTGAAAGAAACCATTATGTACAGAGAAGATTTCCTGCTCCATTATTCTGCCATTTCTCTTCCTAGGGGAAGATGGTTTCCAAATATTTCTGGCCAACGGCACCTATGCCATTCACCTTTGCAAACCGCTGTCCATATCACCGTTCATGTGTGTGAATTGTGCCTTGGATGTATGGGGAAGCCATCATGTGACCATTTTTTCTCGTGGCCAAATGCAGTCCTCACACTGGCTACCAACTCACATCATCAACAACAACTACAATTTATTTATACCCTGCCCATCTGGCTGGGTTTCCCCAGCCACTCCGGGCGGCTCCCAAGAGAATATTAAAAACACGATAAAATATCAAACATTAAAAACTTCCCTGATAGTCAGGTAGTTGTTTATTTCTTTGACATCTGATGGGCGGGCACCACTACCAAGAAGGCCCTCTGTCTGGTTCCCTGTAACCTCACTTCTCTCAGTGAGGGAACCGCCAGAAGGCCTTCGGCACTGGACCTCAGTGTCCGGGCTGAACAATGGGGGTGGAGACACTCCTTCAGGTACACTGGGCCGAGGCCTAGAAGGGCACTTTGATGTCCATGCTATATAGTCATGGACATCAAAGTGCTCTTCCAGGGTCAAGCCAAGTGTTTGTTTGTCTGGGAAAGGGGTGGGAAAATTGGTTGCTATGAAGCTTTCTCCTGATTGCTTTTGCATGCTGGATAAGGAATAAAAAAGACTTTTTAAATATAGGTGAATATATAGGTGAATAATAGCAGTAGCAGCCAGTGTGGTGGGGCAGGAATATGGAGCCACCCTCCCGACACTGACCTTACCTCAGCTTACCTGGATGCTGGATTTCCACTGGTACCCGTACAGTCCTAGCTTGGCAACATCCTTCCCCACTCTATACCCATCCAGGTAAGCTGCATCCCTCCCGATTTTGGTAGGGCAAATCCACATCTCTGCCCCACCACACACACACTGCTAGTAAATAGTAGGGATAATGCAAGCTCTTCTCTGTGTTACGCAAGTATCACCCATGGCTGTCAGCTAATAGAATTTTCTGCTCTTTAAAAGCAAGCTGAATTTATTTACATTATACTTCTCTGGGAACTTTTCTTAGCTTGAAGTCGTTCTCAGATGGTATTTAAAAACAATGTTGCCCTTGGCAAGACTCCAAAACTCCACAGTCCCCATATAGTAGCTTGTGAGTATTTAGGATCTACGCATCAGCATTCGTTGCTTACATGCCCCCCAACCCAAGTCTTCAGTGTGTTTGTAAGTTGCAATACTGTCTGTCGTCACAGATTATGTGCTGCTAGTTATACAGTGTTCTTGTGAGATTTTGGGCAAGCCTGTTACAAATTGCCTGCTTTAAAAAATAATAACGTTAGAAAGTTAGGATCAAAGTTGTGGTGGAAATGCCATTACTTGCAATTCTTAGAATTAGATTGGACAAAAGTATGGAAAAAGAATGTAAGGAGAAACAGATTGGATGGCCTAATAACTTTTTCTTCCATCTCTAACATTTGCAGTGGAAGGGTTTTTTAAAAAATTGGTTTTCTTTCAGGAAACAGGGAAAGATACAGCACAGATCTTTGAAGACCAAATGAATCAAATATATGATTCTAAAGGCTACTAAAATTACAGCAGCACATCCAACTCATGCTAAGGGGGGGACAATGATGAAGTTGCATCTTAACTCTTTACACGATGACTGCTGTGTCCATATAGAAACTCAGGTTGACTCCTGTGGCCATTGAGCTCCAGCAAAAATAACAGTTGTGAGTTGCATCTTAAATAAGCTCTTTGAATGGTGCAGATGACCATGGAAATGACCATCACCATTTACGCAGAACTTTCAATGTACAGCCTGGTCTGCAAATAAAAAGTCCCTACCTGAAGGGTTTTCAATCTAAAATAGGCACAAGAAGCAACAGGGGAAAGGGAAGATGAAGGCAGAGGAAGAATGTGTGACTATTTCAATTACACATACTCTGGCTTAGTCTCCACCTTACTATAACTAAGTAGATGATCCAAAGGCTTTGTGGGAAAGCTGAGCACAGCAGCACTAATGGTGGGGACTGTGGTTGCCATTTTCTCTGCAAATATCCATTTAGTGTGGCATTATCAAATGGAGTTGTAGACCCACTGAAATGAATAACTAACTTTCACCCCCCCCCAAGCCTTAGTTGGATACAATCCATAGTGTCAGTCCAGGGCATTTGCAGGTGGAGCAAAGGCTGTCAAGAGGTGATTCATTGCCAGAACAGCCACATAGGTACCAGTGAAAATGAAAGCAAGCAACACCCCGCTCTGCCCAACCGATTCACTTAAATTATCCCATTTTTCCAACCTGAACATGGTGTGGGGACAGAGAATTTAGTGCATTTTGCAGCAGCATTTCCCCTTCCTTCCCTCCCAAAGCCCAAAGCCTCTTATAAAATCTGCTAAGGTCATTTTGATGCCCATTTTATAAATGAAGAATAAATTCTTTTTCCAGACCATGCAGGCTGCTGTTGGAAGCCAGTCACTTAACGTCCATGCCCAATACTCATCCCCTGGACCACACTGTAATTCCAGTGGATTGACGTACATGCTTCTGTTCCCGGTAAAGGCTTGGAAGACCTTTGTACCCTTGAGCCGGAACCTTTTTAAAAGCACCAGTCATCCTTAAGGCTGCATCTGTTTGACTGGCACATTTCATGTCAGGTGATGTTTAGTTTTCGCTTTCACTGCAGCCAACATTTGAATCAGAATGAGGATTAAGCCTTTTGTTTGCACAGCAACTGATAGTTAAATACCCACACCTTTGTTCAGTGGATAGTAAATTTATGACATCAATCAAAGCATTAGATATGGCATGAGAACAATTAGCTGTTTAAGAGAGGATGTGCCTCTTCTGTCATTTATGCCTCTTTAATAATAGGCATTAGGCCACGTGGTACCTATTAATACTGCAAGGTTTCTTAGCTGGAAATATAGACCTAAGAGTGGATGTTAAGGAATAAGCAAAAATGTCATTTCGTAGAAAGACAGACATCTCTTCTCATTAACTTTCTTCCTGCTGGTTAAGTAAGTTCACTGATGAATCAAGATTTCATTCACAGTGAACCTTCACAAAGTAAGGAAAGATTAGTCAGAGCCTCTCTAAATGTAACTAAGTGTGATCTACACATTTTGTTTTGTTTAAAGCATGATACGGTTATCCTAGAGGCTGTGCCATTTCTGGAGGCAGATGGGGGTGCAGGTGGGACTGAATGCTCCTCCTCCTGGTCAGAAAACCTTTTGTCTCTGGAAAGCTAGGGTGCATGAAATAATGGTTGCTTACCTGCTTATTTTCTATGTGCAGGGAAGTTTGGCATAAAACTGCTCTACCCCAGGATTATTTCACATGTTTACTTAATATCTTTTTTAAAAAAAACAAAGAAAAAGACATAGTATTTGACTGGTGGGGCTTGCATTCAATCTGGATACCAAGATCCAAGAAAAGAGAAGAGCCAAGGATACTTGTCTGCCTTAAGGGACAATGGAAGCTGATCCAACTCACTCCCACAGGAGGCAATGATGGACAACAACTTGGAGGACTTTAATAGAGGAGGTTGTCAATGGCTACTAACCATGATTGCTGGGCATTGTCTCCA